TCTCTCTTGCTCTCGCTTTGTCCCCTCTGTTGAAATTTAAATAAATAAATAAAGCTAAATAAAATAATTCTTCAAAAATAGAGCATAAAATGTTACCTATTTAACATCTGAAGTGTTGTACTTTGGCCAAATTGATATCAGTCATAAATTAAATCCAGAGGAGTGTGATGCAGTAGTAAAAAATGTTAATTCTTTGTGTTATCTAGAATTTGGCTTTTCAGATAATCTTTCTTGCAAAGTAAGCTTTCTTTCATTTTGCAAAATCCAGCTTTTTATTTTTCTTTTTGTCTTTTGGTCACAAAGGCTTTGCCTTTGGGGAGCACGTGAGCCTGCTCTTGCCTCCTACGTAAGCCTGTGATTGCTGATGGAAATAATAAAACGCTGGTGGGCACAAGGATTTAGTCAAATGAAGTTCCTCTGCATTTCATGATGAGGTAGCTGTGACCTGCTTCTTAAAACTGAGAGTAAATATTGGGCTCTGGCTGTTTTCATTCACAGTTGCTCATGCCTCACTCTTCACTCAGAACGCCTCGGTCACCGCCTGCTGCATTGTCCTGATGCTGGTTTTCTCTTACAAGAGGGAGATGGAACAAATCTGGCATGGCTGGTTCACTGTGAGTGTCTTCTATCTCCTCCCTCTGGCCTGAACCCTGACAATGAATGTCACAGACTCAGACCTCAGTGTCTGTCAGTGAGTTGTCTCTGACCTGCCCTGCTCACTGGTGTTGAATACAGCTAATCTTTTCATCAGTGTTTTTCTCACCCCTAATTTGTAAATCCAAGCTGAAATTCCACTGACATGAAGGCAATAGAACAGCAGTGTCTGTGTCTGCAAGGTACAAATTAGCATCGGATCTGGTGCTGATATGGTGGGAGGCAGAGAACGCTTGGCATTAACGCAGTAACATTTGCCTTCAAACTTACATTGAACCTTTTTCTCTCAGGCCTTTGTGTTCATTTAGATACTCCTTGAGCTGTCAGAGAAGTAACAGTGAGCCAGGGAAGTCTATTTTGGGGTTCCAAATTGCCTTTCCCCTCCTCCTTCATAGGTGGCCTGTTATGCAGCAGTGATCACCCTGGCTGCCTTGGCTAATCTGGCTGGCACAGCACTGACCATCACCATTCAGAGGGACTGGATCGTGAGCCTCACGGGTGACAACAGAGGACAGCTGGCCGGTGAGCAGTAACCCCTGGGCCTCAGGTTCTCTGATCAGCTCACGGTGTGGGTAAGCCAGTCAGGATTCTGAAAGAGGCAGCTAATAGCCTATATTAGAATGTTATATGCCCAACCAGACCTGGGCAGATGACACCAGCTATGCCTCTCACCATTTGCACACCCTAGGGCAAGTCACCTAACTTCTCCAGATGTGACTGTCCTCATCCATAAAATGGGGCAAAGACACACACACACACACACACACACACACACACACACACGCAACTCAGTTTTGAGAAGGATTCTGTGAGACCACAGGATTTGTAAAGCACTTAGCGTTCTATCTGCATTTAGGAAGTACAAAAGAAATGGTTGACATTGTTATTACCAAAAGAATATGTATTGGTCATCAGGAAAGTACACACATTTTTGCATAGAAAAACACCTGATGACTTTTCCAAGGACACAATAGATTGCACAGGGAGAGAAGCTACTCAAAATGCAGGTAGCGACCAGATGTTGGTGCCATAGTAATACAATTGGACCCACATGGGCGGGTCCTTGGTTCTCATCCCAACACTTCCCTATGCACCCGGGTACACACAAACTAATGATCTGGGGGTGGATCATGGTATGAGGACCTTGTTGGAAGTACCTCTCTCTTTTTCTATTTGTCTCTCACTCATAGAATAAATACATTTTCTTTAAAAAAATGCATCATAGAAATTCCTTAACAATTGTAGCCTTCAAAAATAAATTTAAGTATTTCTGAATGTTGGCCAAGGATGAGCTTACATTTAAAAAAAAAAAAATCAAGAGCCAGCATGTGGCATGGTGGTTAAGATGCTGGACACCCACGTGACTGGCCATGGTTTGAGTCCCAGACCTGGAGGCTTGCTTTCTCACCTTTCTTCTCTCCTTCTCTCTCTGTAAATATTAAAAAAATAATAATAATAAATTAAATTAAATTAAATAATTCTTAAAAACAAAACCCTCAGATGTGACTATTGATTACTACTGATGGTTAAAGTAGAATTTTTTCCCCCATTACTGGAACTAAATGGAAGACTCTGGCATTCTCTTTTCTTTCTTTCTTATTTTTTCTTTCAATTTATAAAACTTGGATCATTCAAAATTGTGATATATTCAATTTGCCAACATAATGCTGAAGATCTTGGCCTACCCTATTTTTGAGCAATTGGTACTGTGCTAGAAAAAGTTTGTGAGTGTTGATGGCCAAGATAAAGGAAGCTATTAAGGAGGAGACTATGAAAATATATGCCTTACAAAGACTAGAAGCCCCATATAATCATGTTTTCTTTTAAATTATACTTATTTAGATGTACTGTGGCTTAAATAACACCAACCAAAATACAATAGTTCTATGGATAGAAGCCGGGTGTCCTCTGCTTTTCAGTGTCCTCTGCTTCTGAGTACAGAAAATCTATTCTATGTTAATTAATTTTAAAGAAATATAAGATGAAGCACCAATTCTACTTTAGATTCATTACAAATTTTTAAAGTTTATTTTATTTATTTCTCCTGAGGAGACACCACCCCTGCAGGGTCTTCATGCTACAACCCACTCTCAGCCTCAGCAAGATTATGGGCACATGGGCATACGCCTGGCATGTGCAGGGAGACCTCGGGATGCAAACCCAGGATCTTCTCATCTGGCTTCAGCATTGCTGAATGTCACATTACCACTGTGTCACCATGGTTGGCCTCATTAGAAATTTTAAGGTGATCTTGCAAATGTATTTTTCAATGACAGTAGAATAGTCAAGAGAGTAAGTTTTGGATTCAGACTGTCTGGTTTTGAATCTCAGCTCTACCTTCTCTGTAACCTTGAACAAATAAGTTCACCTCTTTGTAGCTCAGTTTTCTAATTTGTAAAAGGAAAATACTATTGGCCTCTTTGAGTTGTTGTGGGGCTTAAGTGAGATGAATTTATGTAGAAGGCTTAGAACTATGCACCAGGCACAGAGTAAGCACTCAACTAATTCTGTTCTCTATCCTCCCCTTGAGCCTCCCTCCACTGTCAACACATTAATTCTAAAGGGCTGTTAATATTATTGTTGTTAAGATGGTGGAGCATGATGGAAAGGAAGCTGAAATGGGAGTTAGTAATCTAGTCTATTATTTAATTTAGTCATCTGTTCATTATTTGCGTTTCTACAGACTGAATTCAAAGGTCTTTTTCAAGTTGGAAATCCTATAATTAATCTATAGTTCAATGAAAGAGATCTTTCCTATTCACCATTATTGAGCTGGTACATGGCTGGCCAATCTAGCAAATGCATGACATTAAATTCACCAGAAGGAAGGACTTGTCCCCTGAGCTGCAATGTTTCCTTCCTCTCACTTACAGGGATGAATGCAGCTGTCCGGCGGCTGGATCAGGTCATCAATATATTTGCTCCTCTGTCCGTGGGCCAGGTGATGGCATGGGCATCTCATGTGATCGGCTGTGGTTTCATCCTTGGATGGAATTTGGTTTCACTTCTTGTAGAGTTTCTATTTCTGTCAAGAGTTTATCAGCTAGTTCCCCAACTGGCTGTAAAACCCCAGCAACAAACGGGAAGGCACTTCCTAGAAAGGCACCAGGAGGCTGTGAACATTCAAGGTAATGAGAACTCAGAGAGCTCCTGTTCTTTTTATGTCAATGTTTCCTTCCTTTTTTCTGAATCTTGTTTCTGCTCATAATCACAATATTTTGTCTGCAAAAGTGCCTAGAAACAGTGATAAGTGGGAAGACTGGTCGTGCCATTGGTCATACAATTCACATGACAGATTATATTGGTGGGGTAGACACGGCTGCCATGTAGTTATATAGGTTGTGCACTGCACAACTCCAGGACCTCCATTCAGAGAAACTCCAACGTAGGTAATGCCTCCATGGGACTTTGCAGCATATACCCTGCACAATCTATTCCATGGCCCTGGGGTCTATTTGACTCATGAACATCTCAAAGGGTGCTTACAGCTTGCTCTTCATGTTCCTATGGCTAGAGAGGGAGACAGATGCTTGGAGTAGATTCAGGAATTGTCTAACAAAGAAGTGGATGGGGTTGGGAATTGTCTGGGGGGCTATGGAAGGGCACTGACTTAAAACCTATGTAATTTTACTGTAGGTGAAATACACTCTTGGGAAATGACTGATGGACTCACCAACAAGCCCAGAACTTTGGAAATCCCAAAGGACCACAAGACTACACCTGAAAGAGAACAGGCCACAACCACAGGGTTTCTTCTTTGCCTTCAAAACACGCGAAGGCTGCTCCGCACGTGCCGTGAGGGATGGGAGGCTTACTGTAGACAGACAGTCTTCCTTGCTGGCTTGGGCTTAGCCTTCCTCTACATGACAGTGCTGGGGTTTGATTGCATCACCACTGGCTATGCCTACACTCAGGGAATCGGAGGCTCCCTGCTTAGCATCCTCACCGCTCTTTCAGCTTTATCTGGCCTGATGGGCACAATTCTCTTCACTCGGCTCAGAGAGCTTTATGGCCTGGTCACCACAGGAATCATATCCAGCTGGCTCCATATAGGTTGTCTAATGCTCTGTGTGTTTTCTGTCTTTGCTCCTGGAAGTCCTTTTGATCCAGCTGTTTTCTCACTCCCATTAAGCAAAAATTCTTCAAACTATGAGTTGCTAAATGAGGACCAGGTACATGTTTACCCCTTTGAAAGAAATCTGAATCAACCTATCCTGCCGGACAAAAAAAAACGCTCTTCCATCCACTGGACCAATAGTACCGTTCTGTTTGAAGGCCAACAGGACCCTGAGCAGCCTGAATCTTACATCTCCATCATCTTACTCTTCTCTGGTGTGATCCTGGCGAGAATTGGTGAGCAGCAGGTCATGTCTGAAATGGGATTCTGCAGCCTGGGATGTTGTTAAGTAATCTTAGAAGCATTTGATGGTCTCACCACTCCCTTGTAAGTCTTCCTTGTTCATTTATCACAAACTTATTATGTAACGAGAACTTTCCTAGACAATGGATACACAAGAGTGACTTAATCAAACATGCTTTAGCCCAATAGAGTGTACAGTCTGAGAGGAAGGCCAATAAATAAGTGGTAAAGAATAATCACCAATATAGAGTGATAGAAGCTATGTTAAGGAAGGGCGAAAGGACTAGAAAGATGTAGGAAGGAGCATAAACTGATCTTAAGTTTAGGGCAGTCTTCCTAGAGGGTGGTGCAATGGAAAGATCCCTGAAAGGCAAGCTAGGCAGGTGACATGAAAAGGGAAGAGTGGGGTACCCTAATGGTTAAGGAAGCTGGATCTCATGTGGCTGACTGGGCCACACAGTTCAAATCCCAGCCCCAGTGGCTTGAAAAACACTCCAGGTATGTGTGTATATGTGTCCTAACAGGAGGGAGAAATGGAGAAAAAAGATTGGGGTGTGACCACACTCTGTCGAAGACTGGGCCTCTTCCTCTCCCTCTCTCTGGTGCACAAGCTCTTGAGTAATTAAAAAACTGGGGGAAAAAAAAATGAGGAAAGCATGCTCCAGGCAAGGAGGAGGGAGAAATGGAGAAAAAAGATTGGGGTGTGACCACACTCTGTCGAAGACTGGGCCTCTTCCTCTCCCTCTCTCTGGTGCACAAGCTCTTGAGTAAGGCAGGCAAGGCAGACAATGATGCAAAGGCTGGGCTAAATGATAAAAACCTGGAGATTTGGAGAAGTGAAAATAGTTATTTCTTAGATGTTAAGCATGTAAATGCTACAAACAACATCTGCATGGAAGAGATACTTTGACCTGGATCCTTTCTCTATGGAACTGGAGGGAAGATAGCAGTGAGGCAGGGTCAAGACTTCTCTTGGTTGCCTGGGGAGACAGTGGGAGCCCTCTCCAAAAATGGAATCCCTAATTTTGAGGGTTTACAAGTTCATCTGTTCTCAATTATTTGGTCTCTGAACTCTGCCATCAACCACGTGTCAGTTATATAATATGGTGGGTGGGGGGAGTCTTTAAAAGATTAATGGAAACGATGCATAAAAACCTATGCATTGTGGTCCAGTAGTTGGCATGGACGTTAAGGTGCTAAACTCCACATGGGCAATTGCACGGTTTGAGTCCTGGACCAGACAGTTTAAAAACTGCACCAGGCACATGTGCATGTATGACATGCAGAAAAATTTTCTTGTGATATTACAAAGTAAACTTGTAATATTGGGACAAGCAATGGTGTAATGGCTATGTTGCTGGACTCCCATGTAGGTGACCATGGTTCGAGTCCCAGACCTGGTGGCTTAAACTCACGCCGGGCGCATGTGCATAGTGCCCAAGATTCCGAGAGGAGAATGGAGAAGGGATTGAAGTATGGCCATCCCCCTGGGGGGGGGGTGGGGATTTCTCGCTTTCTGTCTCTCTCTGTCTTTCTGGCAAGTGCACATGCCCTATAGCAAAAACCTCTCAAAAAAACCCCTGTAATATTAATTCCATTTTTAAATGAATATTTTGAAGTCCTCTCATATATGATTCATACCTGGCAATGAGGACATATCTGATTTAGTGTATATATAGTGTATATGTATATATACACTATATATACTATTTCATTTTACTTTTTCTCAGAGAGTGCTTTCCAGAAAGAGACAGAGACAGAGAGAGAGAGTGAGGAGAAGGCACTCCCCAGTGGGATGTGGTCATGCCACAATTCCTTCACCTCCATTTCTCCATCTCATCAGGATTTGGGGCACACATGTGTGTGCACCTAGTGTGTTTTTTCAAGCCATTGGATTTGGGACCTCAATTGCATGGTCTGCCATGTGGGATCCAATTAACCATTAGGCCACTAACTGGGTTGGTCCCCAGTTAAGATTTTTTTAAATGTTAGTCATTTAATATATAAGGACTCCAGCAGTGCCACAGGGAGGGTCAAAGGCGATGGCAACAGGAACCACTTATCAGCACTGTGGCCCTTGCCACCAGACCTACAGATGCTCAGTCTGGGAGAAGACAAGACGTGTTCTTCACCGTGGAATCTGCATGATCAGATTTCCACTCAGAGAACCCTGTTTCCCCATTTCCTCACCCCGAAATACAAAGTCACTATTTTCAGAGTCCTCAGAGCCAGGGGATTTGCCACCCCAGGTGAGAAACAAGCAGAGTGGGAATTGTGAAGGTGTTGGTGGAAGGTACACATCAAATATGTCTTTCCCATTCACCAACCCTTCCTCACCCCTCTTCTGTGGGCCTCATTCACTACTCCATGCATGGTGTTGCAGCAAGGTCCCTGTCCTCTTGAGGCTTAGAGCTTCACCTTCTCATCTCAGAGGTCACAGTAGGATGGGACCACAGGTTTCAGGGGGAATGTGTTCCTAACTTCAGTCTGGAAACCCAGAACCGTTTAGTCTATAACAAGTTTTGGAATATTAGGAGAGAGGAGATGAGAGTTAAAGGGCCCAATCCAAGAGCGTATAAAACTGTAGACTAGCCAGAGAATTTCACTCCTCTGGTGTGTTTGTGTAAAAAGAAACTAGCTTCTTAATTCCTAAGAGCTAAATTAGAAACTCATTCTTTGATCTAAAGATTACCTGAGCCCTGAAATATTTTAAGAGAGATACCTAGTGGTGAGATTCTTACTATAGGGTGTGTATACGGGCGAGAGAGAGAGAGAGAGAGAGAGAGAGAGAGAGAGAGAGAGAGAGAGAGAGAAATCATCCCCCTAGAGGAGAAGGCTCTGCAGCATTCTCTTCTCCATTCTCTTCTCCGGATTTTGGGCATGCATGCAGTCACCCATTTGGTGTGTTTTTCAAGCTACTGGGTCTGGGAGTTGAGCTGCACAGTTGGCCACATGAAATCTAGTCACCTTAACCACCAAACAACCTGCCCATGGGTGGATTATCCTTAATTAGGGTATTTGACTTGCATGTTTGGCCTTTAATTTATGTAATTCATATTATAATATGATAAAGCATTTAGTTCAAAGAAAAAAAAAGAAAAAGAAGTGACTTGTATTTACCAGGATAATGTGGCTTTTCCTGACATAAAGCAATGATCACAGTTGGGAAACATGAAAACCTATCTGCTGGGCCTGCAATCTGTGAAAGCATTCCATCTGAGAGAAACCTCAGCTTTTTCTCGATTGCACTAGCTGTCATTCCTAAAAAAAAGGGGAAATCCAGGCATGGACCACCCTTGATACTTATGAGACTATAACTGAGGACCTGAAGTCAGGCTGCCTGATGATGCTGGCAAGCTCCAGGTGTCACTGTTTCTTTATCTGTGATGGGATAGTAATTGTTGTGTTTACCTATAGGGAAGTCCTGAGGATGTGCTGACACATCCCTATAGGTAACATGATTAGCAGAAAACTTGCATAAATGTAGGAGCTACCTGTTGAAAATGAACACTAATTCTTGTCTTGAGTCATCATTGCCATTACTATATGTTAGCTGAAATTTCAGATACAAGTGACCTCAGGGTTAGTGATGTGGTGTTGAAACTGCAGATGTTAAAAGCCCTGTAGAACTTGTGGTTAAGGGAGCAGGTCCCACATGGCTGACCATGTGGTTTGAATCCTGGCCCCAGTGGCTTGGAAAAACACAGTGGGTGCCTGTGCGTGTAATGTCCTAAATTTTGACAGGATAGAAAAAGGAGAGGGGATTGCATTGTGACCATTGCTCACGGGGAGTGACCATTGCTCGTGGGGAATGCCTTCTCCCTCTCCTCTGTCTCTCTCTGGTGAGCACACATGTTTTCTGGCAAATTAAATTAAAAAAAAAAAAAAACACAGCAACCAACAAGACACATTGTGTCTTTGTTAGCATAGTTAGCAATCAGGCCTGCTGGTGCTGAGAACCAGTCTTATCTGGCCTGGGGCTGCCTTGGTATCCAGCGTATCACCTCCCTGCTCAGTGAATGCCTGTTTCCATTCTGATGGAAAGAAAATAAATTTCAGAATTTTGGCTATAAGACTGGGCTCATTGCTTAAAAGTCACTTTGCTTTTTAAATGACACACAGAGAGAGCCAGGGCACCTGTGAGAGTAGGAGTGCGAGAGAAATTGGTATTTTTTTTTCTTCTCTTTTTATTAAATTTACTTAGAGAGAGAGAAGCAGAACCTCTGACAGAGTCCCAGTGCCACGAAACATCCCTAGCCCCTGTCGGCCTGAATCATGGTATGTGTGTGCCTGGTACTCAGGGAGGTTTCTGGACTTGAATTGGCAGTCTTTCCATATGAGCTTGCCTCCCAGACTGCTGTATTCTACCACTGCACCACCATCCAGCTCCTGCTTTCAAAAATCTAACTGTAACTTGCTCTCAATTTTCAGATAATTCTCACTGCATGATTAGCCCTCACTTCTTTGAGCAATTCACACTGTACCACTGCAGCATTTCACAAATACAGCCACACTGCATAATCATGTTTCAGTCAACCACAGATTGCAGAAAACCTATGTGGTACACTACCCCTGGGAAAAGGTACCAGAATCCCCAGGAAAAATGTTCCTCCTCTGCTATGGCAGCAGTAAAGAAAAATCTGGAGTGGAGCTGGAACTAGGTTTGAAGACCAAGACTTTGCTCTTTGTCCTTAACAATTTTGCAATCAAGTGGGAGCATAATAAATATATCCAAAGTGAAGTTATAGCACATCTGATGATGATAGTGGTGATGGTGTTAGTTACTCAAAAGAGTAACTATAATACCACAAATGATGACAGTAACTACAATGCACAGGTGGCCAGACATAGTCATCTTATAGTTCTAGCTCATGGAATCCTCCAATCAATGGATGACAGAAGTGAACAACCAAGTCTCATTTAAAGCCAGCAGATAGCATGGTAGTTAAGGCAGCTAGACCCCCCATGGCCAGCAGTTCAGTCCTGGACAAAGTGGCTTGAAAAACATGCCAGGTGAGTGCATGCATGCCCAAAATGCTGAGAGGAAAATTGAGAAGAGATTGCAGCTTGGCCATCACTCCTGGGGAGTTCTTTCTCACTTTCCCTCCACCCTGCTCTGTCTCTGGTAAGCATCCATGCCCTATAGGCCAAAAAAGAAAAAAGAAGGAAAGAAAGAAAAGAAATACAATCTCATTTACCCAAAAGCCACATGCTAGTCAATGTCAGAGCAAGAATTCTTTTTTTTTTTTTTTTG